TTGTTTGCACCTATGCAGACTGAAAACGGTTTATTTGTTAAAGAAACGCGTATGACGTTTTTGTGACTGATCTTTCTAATGAATAACAACGCCTCGAAGTTGCTTTCTATATATATATATATATATATTTTTTTTTTGCCTCAAATGTCTAAAAACAAGTCGGGCTCCTTCACGTTACAGCCTGCGCGGCGTGCGTCAGACTTATTCACCGCCTTTCTGATTTTTTTTTTTTCTTCGGTTCTGTGGAGGTTGTTGTAGGAAAACGTTTTGCATTCACCAGAGTAAATGACGTGCTGTCTTTTTAGCTGTGCACGCGCGGACAGTTGAGCTGCAAAGCGCCGCACACTTGTTTTAGCTACACTGAGTTTGCCGATACCGACGCTTCTATCAAAGTGTGAATCGACAGTTGCTGACGCTTAGCTTCCCCCATATCGAGTAAGTGGCAAAGAAGTTTGTCGCACCGCGACTTCTGCTCGAAAGAAAAGCAGAAATTTTCAGTAATTCTTAAATTGTCGGACATGACCCGGCAAATTCAGGTGATTGATTAATTTGTTCTATCCAATTTTTAGGCTAAGAATTGTTTACAAATTTATAATCGCTCACTGAGTCGCTCATCACGCTTTATGAGCCTTTGGGTCCTCAAAATTAAAGATACAAACGGTTGTAATTCATAGCAGGTGTAACCTAATTTTTTTTAAACGCTGAAGTGTGGCCGACTTACTAAATTTACCACTTCGATCGCGAGGGGATCTCGCACGTTTCGCGTCAACCGGGTGAATACGCAGAGGCTTAATAAAAACGACTCGGGAAGCCAGTCACCGCTTCTTCCTGCTTATTTTGAGGAAATGTTTGTTTACTGGTTTACAAAACTAAAAAAAAGGAATCAACTTAGAACTAACAATAGACCAGTACTTACAGAAAAAGTTGGAACCAACAAGGTACGCGGAGTCGCTTATCTCGAATTCGGATTTCCTATCTAAATTTGACGAGACGCTCCTTTCTCAGTTTCATTTTGTCCAAATCATGATAAAAAATACACCCTATTCGTCCTGGTAGATGTTGTAATGGGGTAAAGCGCTGAACATTCTATTTTCATTATCTAGCATTTTGTACTGGGGTGGGGGAGAGCACCCCCCCTCTCCCTTTACTACGCCATTGCTCCCAAGATAAGCAGTGTATAGTTTTATTTCTTAACTTTATTTATTAAATCCAGGACAAACCGCGCGGGAAGCGCGAATAGGGGAAATGCATAGCGCCCTATATGTATGTAGGTTTCCAGGGGGACGCACCGAGTGACTATTTTTCGCAAGAGCACAGGCGTCAAACAGATGGCGGGGATAGACCTGCGCGAATCCAAAGCTATTTCCGCAGTTCGTGCATCAGAGTGGGGCGTCGTTTACACAGTGCTGCGCCGAAGACCACTTACAGCGTGTTTCCAGGGTGGAAATGAAATCGCCGATCAGCCAACCGCTGCCGCTGCTCTCCTAAACCGAAATAAAGATCATATGATCATGATATCAACCGTGATTCGTGACAGAAATGTTCGAAAGGCCTACACACTGCGCCCAGAGCTTTGACACTCGGACACGCGTAAGCGACCATACAGCTTTGCTTTCTGAGCTCCTGCCGTCAGTTTGGCCGTCACTTCGAGCACGGATCAGGAACGCGTTGAATGGGTCAGACGCCCCCGCAAGTTTCAGCATCGGAACGTAGGATCTACGAAGATCCCTTTAACACGGCCTGCAATCCGATATGTATTGCTATAAGGCAAAAAAAAAAAAAAAAAAAAAAAATATATATATATATATATATATATATATATATATATATATATATATATATATATATATATAATAATAAAAAGAATAGAATGTGGGTTTTGGTTCAAGGTTCAGAGTCACACTCACAACGCCCACAAAACAAAGAGGAACAACGCCATGTTGGCCATATGGCGACGAAAGTGCCGAACCTTCGAAACAACCGAAATTTCGTCCAAAAAGAAACCGAACCTTCGGAGTTTCACCCCATCACTAGTATAGACATTATTTTAACCCTGGAGGACTATTGTCCTCCTTCTTTCCCCCATCCAGGGTTAATATGATGTATGTACTCAACCAGCTCGCCTGCCCCCTTGCTTTAACCTCCTCAGTTCCCGTATGGTCGCCATTTTAGTCCACCAAATGGGCGGTTTCTTCTCGACGTTGTGGTAGATGGTTCCGATGACTCCAATAATGATACCCGGAACTCCATCGGCGCCTTTGCGGATGCGTCGTGTTGTCGTCGAGGGTATCGGAGGTATCGGAACGCTCTAAACTAAAACACCCGAGATTTTGTTAGATCTAAAATCGGTTACGTTGTCCACACACCAGCACCGACATCCTGCGCTCGTGGTGGGCGGCATCGGAAAAATAATTTTTCCGTCATGAAATACTTACGAAGAACAATATAATTGTCAAGGATCTGCGAATCATAATTAAGCCCGGTTGACAAGTTGATTGCATATGCAGCGCCAAAGACACTTATAGACCGACACCCTGTTTACAAACAAGCCCGCGTTTGCCCACACCAGGTGTGGGCACTGCACGTGCGCAGAAACCTAATTCGGGAGGAGTGAAGCGTTTGCGCATGCGCAGTGCCGTCGGCAGCGCCACCGCAGCTTGGTGACGTCAGGGCCGCGTCTTGGTCTTATAGACCAAGACGCGAGAAGGGCTTTCAGTACGACGACGCACCATTGCGATCTTGGCGTGGCTGTCACTTTCGAAAGCGCCAAAATGGCGATGGAGGTGGCGACGGATACTTTTCATTTAATCGCCTTGCAAAGTCTTAGTCGTCTGTTTTTTTTTTTTTTTTTTTTTTTTTTTTTTTAGTATTTGTTTGTTGGAAAGGCAGTAGCGCGGTCTTTGGTAAGGTCGTTCTGTAGGCTCCGTTGAAGGCGCTTCCCCGGAAGCTTTGGTGCACTGCGGAAAAGCGACATTTGCGGTATGGGCACTGACTGCGCTAGTTCGGGGCGCTGCTTCTGCGTCTTCGCGTGAAGATTGTAGTGCACTGCGCCGTATGACGACAACACGTGTGAAAAACGTTAAAACATGTTAAAATGCTTGCCTACCCCGCAGTGCATCCGCGTGCTTAGGGGGAAAAAAAAAGCACCCTTTCAAAACAAATTAGCATCCGCGCGCTAAAAAAAAAAAAAAAAAAAAGATAAATAATTTGTATTTTAAACATAATTTTGGCTGCTTCAAGAGGTGCTGGGAAGAATTCTAGCCAATCACATCACTGTATAAGCTATAGTAACGCAGACATTCTAAAAAAAAAAAAGATATTGTCGCGGCCGGCTTTTTTTTTCTTTTTTTTTTTTCTTTTTTTTTTTTTCTTTTTATGAAATTCGTGCTCGAAAAATATTTCGATAGTCCGTCCTTGGCCGGGTGCGAAATATCTTTAGCTACTTGACCTGCTAAAGTACTATTCAAGGCATTTCACAACGTTGGCGTTGGAAAATAAACTACATGTTTGACTGAAATTTGATTACGACGTATGCTCAGCATATGAGATGAGTGACAGGCCCATCAAGGTAAGTCCGAAATTTTGTCTTTGCATAAAATTTGTCAACTGAAATTAACGGGCTCGAGAGAAGAGACCTCCTGTACGTTGTGCTAAAAGGCACCGCTTCGTGAGCCCGCGTAGACAGATCTCAATTGAAACTGAGGCGATGTGGAACCTATAACGTTGAACTAGGGCGATGTTCATATAGATGGCTTCTTTTCGGCACAACATAATGCGATCCCGAGGCACTCTCAAGCTGTCTGTGACCGATTTTTTTTTCACTGGGGTAGTCCCGACATTTGTGTTGAAATAATTGAAATAAATTAATTGAATTGTATGTCTTACAAATGCGTTAAAGCACTTGAATGACTGCAGAAGTGGGACCGAGCATTGTGTACGGTTTATATAAATTCGTAATTAAACAAATCAAACAAATGTTTATATTGCAAATACGATTAAGAACGTCTAACACATTTAGGTGTAATATCGTGAACAAACAAATCGCCTGATGTGTATGTTACCATTGTCCCAAGCATCCCAAAATATGTGAGTTATACGTTCGTTACCTATCTTATATGTCCTATATAACAAAAAAAAACTATTTTAAATTTGTTATGAAGGCTAAGCATGTTTTTTTCAAGAAACAAACATTGGTTCATATGGTGAGCATATTTGTTACATTCTTTAAAAAGGCACTAACTAGTCAAATTTTTCTTTCTTCCCAAACGATTGAAAACGATTCCTCGACATTACCCTCAAAATTCGAAGCTTGGGAATTCAATATTTGTGAAAAAAAAACAAAATTCCAAAAGTTGGATTTGAAGTTCCCGCACGATACCCGCCAGTGCAGTGACGTCAAACAAATTTCTCATCTACTGCTGAGAGACAACTCGCCCGTTGACGTAGGTAAAGTTTTTTAGTGACGTCAAAGATTGAGTCGTCCTGCAACTCGAGTTTCCCTCGCGCCTCCGAACCGTCCCGAGCGGAAGTGTCGTGTTCTCCCGCGATGGATGGATGGATGGATAAATGAATCCGGCTGAGCCCTTTGGATCGGGCGGTAGCTTACGCCACCTAGCCGAAGTCGAGAGTGAAGCGTCGTCTGCTCACAGCGACAGGCGGCACGCGCGGAGGAAACCGCGCTCTTCCGCGCGTGCCGCCTGTCGCTGTGAGCAGACAACGCTTTACTCTCGACTTTGGAGTTCTTTTAGGGCCCTTTCAGCGATCTCAACTTCTCTGAAACGGTGCGAGGGCGAAGAGAACGCGCAGTAGACTTTTGTAAGCGACGTGAGAGGCCACGTCAAGCCGGTGAAAGGCTGCCCCGTTGGAGTCGCAACCGAAGCTACTTTAGGCAGACACAAGAAGACCATAAACGCGATGACACGAGACAAAAAACACGAATACAACGCCGTCGCCATGGTGCGGAGGGGTGACGAATTGAGATCATCTTATGGTGGCCGTGTCACGCGATTCCAAGATGGCAGCGCCCATGCGACGGATGCTGAAAAATGTCTATTCCGGCTCCCGCACGTGAACGTGGCGTAAATATTTCTTTATTTACTTTGTTTTCGTCAGTCACATATTACAAAACACAAACGAACAACGTGACATCGGTTAATATAGCGAAAGTGGAGTGATGCACTGTCATATGAGATGCGAACAAAATTTGCTACTTTTTCTTTGCGAAAATTTCACAACACATTTGAGGTAAATTTAAAGGAACAGTATCTGGCGGACGCCGTTTGTCGAGTTTAAGTTCGCCCACGTTCTGTACAGTCAGTGCTGAGGTGTAGCTCCAAGGCGCCATTTATATCAACATTTCTCCAAACAGCGCAGCTTTGTGGTCCAGCTCTGCGTTCTCACTTCTCGCCAAAAGTTTCAGAATCACGATGAAAGGAACGCAACATCTAAGCCCATGTTGTCCAAGCGGGTGAACGCAAGGATATTCACGGGCTTTTCGACTAAGCGGCAGTGTAAAGTAAACACGACGTACGAGCGCGTAAAATGTAAGCTCGAGCATCTTTTGAGTTACAGTCCGTCTAGCTGAAGTCTCACTCAATTTCTCCCCTCTCCTGCTGGGTTCGAGAAGATGTCCGAAGATTGGGATCAGTGTTGCCTAGAAATTTGCTTTTAGAAGTTGGATTTTTTGTAGAAACTTGATTTTCCTGGCAAAGGCTGTAGTCCGTCCCAGAAGTTATATGCGCAGCGTGATTGTGTCATCGGCACTAGTGCGGGCTTTGAGAAGTATATATCTTTGCGTCGCGTGCATGCGGAGCTTTTGGTAAGCTGCGCAGGAGCAGCCAAAACACACCGTAGGGCGACGAAGGACGCCCTGTTGGTCTCGTCCTTTCTGTGACTTTCGACAAAGGGCGGCAGTGCTGGATGATACCGGGTCCCGCTAGCAGACAAAAGTGTGCCAGCGCACGAGGCATGTGGTCCGTGCAGCCCTTGGAAGAGCGTGGTGGCGTAGTACGTGGACTGGTCGCTAATAAAGAGTTTCAGAATAGGGCGTCCCCAACGCTTCGGGTCGCCCGAGCAGCTTGCGTACTGCGCATGCCCAGAAGCTCCGCGCATACACTGTGCGTCGAGACACTACGCTGCTCAGGTGCCCCAAGCGTCCCCCCGGCCCGTTCTAAAACACCGTGTTAATACGTACGCCATATGACTGGACGTTGCCGGGTAAGGACAACACGGAGCATGTGGTATTGGCGGTATCGGTTCTGAGCAGCGTGTGACGAGTGAGTGAGACAAAAGCGGAGCTCGTTAGCGGGACTCCAGCATGACTAGGCTTCCGGGCGGCAGCACGTAGACGGTGCCGGGGGGCTGCCTGCCCAGGTGCAGCACCGGGGCATCGTCTGGGGCCATGACCAGCCGGGGTTGCGCCACTGGGTCGTCCCCGTAAGCGCCCTTGCGGGGCAGGCTGTATTCCGGCTCCCTGCGAGGAGGTACCAAAGTGCCGCTTAGAAACGATCCTCGCGTTCGCCCTCGTCAGGTGGGGGCACTGCGCGTGCGCAGTAACCGCGTCAACTGAAGCTTCTGCGCATGCGCAGTTCGGATAGCAGCGCCACCGCAGTGACGTCACAGTCGGGTGTTTGCGAACCAAGCAAGCTGGCGTTTGTAACTCGCTCATTTTAAAGCAGAGGATGTGGAAGAAGAAAGCGAGCGAAAGGGAAAAGGCTGTTCGTATGGGTGCCCACCTCTCCGTCGTGGGGTATCTGGCCGCGGTGAGCACCGGCACGTCCGACGAGCCGCGGGGCCTTCTGGGCGGCAGTCCGGGGGCACCGTACTTGTGGTCCTCGACGGGGTAGCTGCCTTCGCGCCGCGCCGCGCAGCAGCGCAGCTTCCTGGCCCTCGAGAGGTACACGATGCAGCAGACGGTGGCCGCCAGGGTGGCCAGCAGCGCCAGCAGATCCACCGAGAGCAGCGTCAGCAGGAGCACCGCCCCGAGGTTGTCCAGGTTCACCTCCTTGGTCTCTGAGCATCGTCGTCCACATCGGCCCTTCTTTCACTGAATTAACGCGAAAGGCTCGGCCCTTATTTAGATGTACATCTACCGGTCAATATGGACTAATGTCGACGTTTGGCCCGCGACGATTCCTCTATGACGTCGGCAATACCTTAATAATAATAATAAGATTAATAATAATAAAAATAATTTTATTTTTCATTGAAAATAAAATTATGATTATGAACACTTTTCTTTTTCTCTTTTGATCGCCGATGATTTGTCATGTATGCTTGCTGTGCGCTGGGTTATCGTGCTTTTTTTTGTGCGTGTGTGTGTCCGTCTATGCCCACCCCTGCCTTGGCTGCCAACAGGCGGCTGGCAGTATGTCCAAATAAAAAATAAAAAAATAGAACGCACAGTATTGGGTGTAAGCAATAGTCCCAGTGCTCGTTGACGCCTTTGTCGCGGCTTAAATAAACCCTTCGGGTACAACTTACATTCTTAATAATGCCCCTTTTGTACTATCTTACTCGGATGACCGAATGTTCTCTGTTGACTGTGAGGTACACCAAAGTTTCACACTGTGCTGAAGGCCAGAAGTACAGTGCACGCTAGCGCTATAAAGTTATACTCTAGAATGCGCAAAAGGAGACCATGCAGGCAGCACAAGCCGCGCTATCACACGGCTACCGTGCGTGCGTCCGGGGTTGGGAGGTATCGCTTGCGGTTCTGATCCCACCCGCTGCCTGCTCGACCGCGTGGTCTGTATAGCCTTGTCGCCGTTTGCGCCTATTAGTTCGTATCGGTAGCCACTGTGCGCGAGATTTGCAAGGCTTCGGATCCAGTTACAGCTGCTTTTCCGTCGGCCTGCGGTCGAGATCACGGACTTCTGTGTCTGTGCCGGCTGTTGTGTTGAGAGATATATATATGCAACCACGCTATTGCAGACGCTTCCGCAGTCCGGTGCGCCCGTGCATGCCGTGGCTGCTGGCTCTGACCCGAAATAGAAGGGAGTTTGTTTGCCCAGGGGATCTCCGGAACAGGGGCCGACGGCCACCGAACACACGTGTCGTAAGTACGGCACACGCTCTAGCTGTTCCTTCGGGTCCGGCCCTGAATCGCTGACATGGGTATACGCTATAGTTCTACGTCTAATGGGATCCGAGAAAAATGTGTAACAGGCCGCGGAAGTGAAAAAAAATAAAATAAAATAAAGCTAGTGTCAACACAGATATGGCCAAAGCTTGTCTAAATTCTAATGTTTTTTTTAGAGCGATAGTTTTGTATGGGAACCCTGCACGGACCTTGATTGCTCCTGTTGGCGTTGGTCGCGCCGTGGCAAGGACATGGGAGAGGGTATAAGCAAGGGAACGCAGCTGTTAGTTTAACGTTATAGCGCATTCTCGACCAATTGCATTGCACCGCGCGGGGGGGAGGGGGGGGGGGGGGGCGGTGCGCTAACAGCCCCCTCTTCCCCGCCTCTCTCCGCTGCGCAGGAGCGGGGGCTGCGTAGTGGTGTAGGAACTGCGTATTTGCGCTATCACATCTTTATGCGCAGCGCAAGTTCGTCTGCTTCGTTTGCAGGTGCTGTGGTGACGTCAGAATGCCGAGCTCTGATTGGCTCTGATGGAAGGATAGTGGGCAGACGTCAAAGCAAGCTGCCTTGACGTCTACCCACTATCCTTCAATCAGAACCAATCAAAGCTCGGCGTTCTGACGTCACTACAGCACCTGCAAACGAAGCAGACGAACTTGCGCTGCGCACAGCATTTGACAAAATGTCTGAGCCGGGCAATTTTTGTTTTCCTCCAAGTTGGAACTGACGAGACACCAACGAAATGAATGGCCATTGTTTTCAGGTTCGCTTCTTCCCTTTACCGCTCAGTCGTGCGAAAATGACATAAAAAACAAGAATTAATAATCCATTTTTTTTTTCTTAGATTTCGTTTCACCCACGATGTGATGCGACCAATGAGACCGCGTTAAAGCGCACCATCGTGGTAATCGTCATGTTTCTGTGCGTGTTTTTCGCTGAACCAATCATAAGAGGAGGCCCAGTGACCTGCGCTTTTGACGCTGTCTGATGTGTCCCTTCAGCTCGTAGCGTCCGCGAAGAATAGCCTGGAGTGTAACGATCGCCAACAGCCGAGGGTGGCAACCACCAACGGCCACCGACCCACCGTCTTTCTCGAGGACTTGGAGCAGCAGGAGCAGCTTGTAGGCGAAGAGCACAGCCGTCAGGCAGACGGCCACCGTGGCGCACGCCGCGCAGCTACCGACCAGCGCGTGCAGCCGCGAAGATCCCGCGCGGCGGCAGTACGCCGCCATGCCACACACGGCGGCCATCGCCAGGAAGAGCCCCTGGAACCGCATGGCCACCTCGACCGTCGACAGCTCCGGGATCACCTGCATGTGCCGAGGAACGCGTCGGAAGCCACGCTTCAGGAACCACTCCGGGCCGGCTTGGTGCCCGACTTTTGGAGGCTACTCGTATTGTCCGCGGTATTTGTAGGGGTACTGTGCGTTTACACTCGCGGAATCGTAGGCGAGTCCGCGAGTGTCAACTGGGGCGGGCGGGCGGGGACCCAAAGGGTTGGGCGTCCCCTAAAAATACGAGACAGTGAACTAGACTGCGTGGGAAAATACAAATATCTGGGAGTATAGCTCAATGAGGGAAGAAACAAAAAATTACAGGAGGACGCTTAAGCTTCGCCTTTAAGAGGGGAACGTGATAGCGGAGCATATAAACATATGAACTCTCCCTCTTTCCCAAGCCGTGCAAGCGAGCCTTGCGTGGTCTATATAGTCAGTAGCTTGTCTGGCTCGCAACCGAAAGGTCGTGGGTTCGGTTGGTTCAAATGACTTACTTTATAAAGTGAAATCATTTGAGATATTCGACATACTTTAATTCGCGTTACATGTCATGCTGATAATGCAATTAATGCAAAGGCGCAAGCGAGCTCAACAAGAATAACGATAATCAACGCTCCACAGGAAATGGAGAGGTCCCTGGTTCGATACCAGGACCAGGTGGATTGTTTCAGTCGCGCACCAATCACCTAGTCGTGTTTGGAGATTTGTGTTTGTCCTTGGTCTCCCTTGTTCCCCTTCTCCAGGGGCTATTATCGTTTACAAGTCATGTTTTTTAATCACGTTCATTCCGCGCATGAAGTCAGGTTTCACTTGAGCGTTGGGGGTTGTTTGAAAATACCGCGCAAGGTCATGTGGCTGTGACGTCATGAGCCTATCGACCGATCAAGATTTTCACGTCACACCGCCACCGACATCGGCTTTTCAGCAACACGAGGTCCTTAGCGATATCGCATTAATAGTGAGTTTTAGTATTGCGTATATGAGCGAACGCAAGCACTATGCGTTTGCGTTAGCGTTGCGAACGCAAACCCAAGCTGCGCGGCCTTGGATTGGCGCATTGCGACTTTGCGCATGCGCAGCGTGGAGAACGCAACGCTAACGCAAACGCACAGTGCTTGCGTTTGCTCGTATACGTAATACTAAAACTAACTAATACTTAGAGGAACACGGAGAAAATACAATTAGAAAAGGGAAACGGAAATTCAGGTATGAAAAAAAAGAAAAACGAGGCAATATGGAACTATAATGAATACGAAGTGGTTAGGGATATATGGGAACTGGTAATGGTGTCAGCACTGTCTTTTGTCAATCGGGTACTGTGTCTGAGATCAAGGATTAACTCGGGACTTGAAATTCGACAAAGGAGCGTGGGTATGTCAGCGCTGCGCGTGGGAACACAAAAGGAGGGAGTGCAGAGTTACATGGGCTGGTCGTCCTTTGAGATCAGAGGCAACCGGTAAATTGAAATTTGAAGAAAGGTTAACTGGAATAAACGATACCCGGTGGACACGAAAAGTATTCGAGTATTTATGCATAAAAATGTTAAACACAAAACGGACAAACCGAACCCGAATGCTGACACTGAAATACCTGCACACTAAGGATGAGGCGGAGCACGCAGACTAGTTCAGTGAAAAAGAAAGGGAAAGACGCAGGAACACAAATGTGGGAGGAAAGAATGCAAGGAATATCATCTTTAACGATGTAGAGATCACAAAAAACAGGACACAGGAAAGGAGAAGGTGTTTGATAATTCACGTGAAAGTTCTTTCGTGTTCGAGGCGACGTATATAGGGTTAAATTTCAAGAGATAGACACATTATGTGCTGTATGCTTATAGTTAAAGTTTTGACGTGCATGGGGCTTCGCCCCGCCCTTCCTCAAGGTTTAACAGATATCGCGAGGACGCTGGGTTATGGTGGCGAAGATGGAAGAATGGAGGAGAAAAGGGTATACGAGCTGAAACAGCGCTCTTTGCTTCGTCTTCTCTGCCTGTTTGACAACGCTAGTAATTATAGGTAAGACGACTTTTGATTGGGCTAGTTGGTTTGTATTAGACATGATTAAAATAGCGCCACCTGGACAGGGAAGAAAAAAGGCACGCATACGACAGGACTGGCGCCAGTATTGTCGTACGTGTGCCTTTTTTTGACCCTGTCCTTTTCGCGCCATTTTAATCATGGTCCTATAGGCTCTTCCTCCCACATGGAATGATGATGTAGGGCGTGCTCCGTCGATTTTATTACATGACACCGTGATGTTCTGTGACGCTACGGTGACGTCATGTTCGTCACATGACGCCAAGGTGTCACGTGACGTCATGTTCGTCACATGACGCCAAGGTGTCACGTGACGTCATGATTTCATGTTATAGTTACAGATGAGTCTGTCACTCACCGAGCAGACATTGGCAATGGTTACTTCACGTAAGGTGCAAGAAACGTAAGTGCAAGATGGATACATTGGGTTCGATAAGGTATCGCAGTTATCACTGCGACTATTCCGCATTACAGAAGACTTTTTTTTTATTTTTTAGGAAGCTTTGCTTTAATTTTGGCTTGGAACACGAAGCCTTGGCCTCAATCTTCAAGCTGTTTGACAATTCTGGAGATAACGGTGCTTGTCGGAATTGTACGCAGCAAACGCCCGGCTAGCGTGTTTTGTCCGGGAGTGTACTGTTAACGCAGCGCAACACGGGCAATCGGCATTAGCAGCTGAGCCGGTGTTCGTACTCGGCGACCACTGACAGTTTTGCATGCGCTAACGTAAAGTTCTAAGTCTTTTCTGTGCGACGTTGTCTCGTCTATAGGAAGTATTCACTGGCGGCCATAGCTGTGTGCGCGACTGCTGAGCGCGTGCTGATGGCGAGCTTCCACAGTAACGTGCATTCCGCACCCTCAATATTGCCGGTCTTAGCAGCCTGTTAATGAGAGCTCGTTCTGAGCATGCACTTTAGACAGAACCCACAAATATGGCGCCCAGTGAATACTCCTTATTCACGGCTCGCACTGATGTCACATCAGCGGCTATTGTGGTGTCCTTGCTGCTCAACGTGCCCCTTTTAAGAGCTCGCATCACCGAAATTTTTTTTCTCAGTAAGGACCAGAAAGATATGGCCATAAGGCGTCACGTGCAAGCCATGTAAAGCCACTGACCGCAGGATAAGAACGGCAACAAAATATTTAAATTCTCCCGCTTCCAGCTCGAGCTTCCTTCCTCCGATGTGGCGCCTTGAACGTGCAGCGAAAGCACGACGGAAAGCAGTGAGCGTGTGCGTGAGGACTGGCATCCAAAAAAGACGCGCCCTGCGCTTGTCCTATATTGCACCTCTATGCGGAAAGCAAGTCGTCTGCTTCTTGAGTCGCGGTGACGTCATAATGATGCCGAGCTCGGATTGGTTTTGACTGACAGGAAGGGGGGGGGGGGGGGTGGACCTGAATGCTATATGCCTTGAGAGTCTACGCACTATATTTTTTTTTTTTTCAATCGGCCAATAAACGTTTGATGTTCTGACATCATCGTTACCCATGTACAAGAAGTAGACAAACTTGCGCCCAGCATAGTCATTGACAGGTTGGAACGGTACAGCGTCCCTTCTGGATGCCTCCAGCACGTGCTTGTGGTCTTCGGTCGTACTTTGACTGCGCGTGCATACTCGATGCTCACAAGGCACCTAGATGTTATCGATCCTACCAGTGGCGAATCCTCCCTGCCGTTGCCATCCTGCCAGTGGCGAGCTGGCAGGACGGTCGCTCACCATCCTGGCGAGCTGGCATGCATGTCTGCCTACTCGTGACTGGAAAGCCCGCTGGTACGGTGCAACAGGAACGTACCAACGAAATATGCAAATCAGTGGCTCCTTCTTATGGTTCCTATCTGTGACATCCCGACCAGGATTATCAATTATAGGTAGGGTTCTGTGTTTTCGTTACATACCGGTATTCACCGGAAAACAACCTGCGAAGGTTCTTTTTCCCGAAATCGGTAAAAACCGAAAAACACCGACTTGAAGCTTGCTTTGAAGAAGCAAAAACCGCAGTTTCACGGCAGGAAAGTTTTGTAAATAACTTTCTTTCTGTCCAACCCAAGCATCGACCGCACGGAACTGTCCGCGACGCTGGTCTTTTCTTCGAAAATTGTTTCTGTGTGCTTTATTGAGTAATAAAAAAACGCATATAACGTCGTTTTTTCTTGAGCGCGCCAGATATACCTTTGCTTTTACCATATGAGACCCAATAATCCCCGACTTGTGGGTTTATCGGGGCTCGTATATGGCAAAAACCCCGATTTGTGGGTCGGTGTCTATTTGTGATAACACAAAGACACCGAAACACACCGAATTCTGGTAAAAAATAAACATCGAAAAAGAATCCTCGAATGTGAAGAAAAGTAGATACCGAAAACAAGGAACCCTACTTACAAGCGACAATTTTAACGGTGTGTGTAAAAAGTGCGGTGGACGCTTGTAATCATCGCGTTCTTAAACTGACACCGTTAAGGTTGACGCTCTGACGTTCCTCTTACTGCTATTAATGAAAGTAAAAATCATCATGCTCAAATCGTGCTTGACCAGTCCTGGAAAGCCGACGACTGCGACGCTTTTGGTCGATAGCACAGTTTCTCCGGTGATCGCCTGCCCGCACTGTTGAGGGAGCAAATACCGCGATACACTGAAAATTTGAAATACGAAGAACGGAGCGCGTAGCTTTCTATAGGGAGTATTCACTGGACGCCATATTTGTGGGTGCTGTTTAGAGCGCATGCTCAGAACGAGCTCACATTAATAGGCTGCTAAGACCGGCGCTCTTGATGGTGCGGAATGCACGTCGCAAAAGAACTGTGGAAACTCGCCATCAGCACGCGCTCAGCATTCGCGCACACAGCTATGGCCGCCAGTGAATACTCCCTATACATGCTGCGCAGGCTGGCGACGGGCTCGAGAAGGTTGCGCGTGCGCTGTAAGGCCAGATATACGAAGATGCACGTCCAATTCTATGACATGCCGTGACCGCCGCTCGGTACGCAAGCGCTTTAGCTCGGCGCGAGTGCGCTCTGTCACCACGGTGTCACCGTGACAACGCACCTTTTCAACGTTGTCGCAGCGACAAAGCTTTGCTCGCATGTGCACCACGCAGCCGCGAGCTGAGATAACAGCGGCGCGAACGGGTCCCATATAAAGTCCCTTGATACTTCCTTTACAAGCAACAGCCAATACAAATGACAAAGCACAATCCGCTGGAACAAAATGGCGGCATTCAGTTCAGTCTTCTGCTGTGCGCCGCCGTTCGCTTCCTAGAACCTGCACCGTCACGCAGTCGCCGCTTCAAAGAATGTCGCTACTTGTAGGAAGCTTTCATCTAGGAACTTTAGCCCCATAGGCAGCCGGCAACGGCCAGGCGGCGCCAGCAGGGTGAGAGCGCACGGTTATACCCTGCCTCAACTTGGCAAACGGCGAACGATAAGCCCCACATTGCGTGCCGAAGGCAGAGAAATGCGCGACGCAACGCACACATATTGGAGCATGACGCAGCGAAAAGCCTGATACTTCTTCGGAGCTCATGCGCGCTCCGGTGATCCGCAGTCACGTTCCCATTGGCCCGCCAGGTCCGTAGCTTCCGCTCTACTGGCACGTTACGCGATCACGGCTTCCTGGGATACCCAGTATTTCTTGCTTCGGACACTAGGCTCAGCGGCGCCACCAGAGTAATAGCTCACGTTTAAACAATGCAGCCACCACTCCCAGGGGTACCCAATATTTCTTGCTTCAGTCGCTAGATGGCGCCAAACCGCGCGCACATGCACCGAGCGATAGTCCAAGACCACGTTTCGGAGTGTGAGGAGCCGCCCTCGGGTACAAAGGGCACAACGTGCCTGCTATGGTGACGCACTGGTGGCACTTCCGATTAGTACACGATGCCCGCCGTTTCTTCCCTTACAGCCAGAGAAGAGGGACGAGGGGAAGCGGGCAGCAAGCTCCGTTGTTTCTTTGGACCTAATCGCTTCGGCTATCGTCGCAGGTGGCGTGCTGTGCGGGGAAGAGGCGTTAAGAAGCGACGCCGGGTAGTGGTGCGAGACTTCAACTTCAAAAATTGTTTTCTCGCTTTAAACAAAAACTACTCTGATTAAACTTTCAGAATCAAAAGACGATCAATCGTTCTTCCAAACCCACCATACTTTGTATTTTTACTTGGACCACCTCAGGGTGGAATAAACGGCTGTTTATGCGTCAAAACGCACTTTTTGGCAACTTCAGGATTTTTGTTTTACTGCAAGGTTTTAATTCAGCGGTTTAAAATATTTTTATAGGTTATATACCTAGAGGGAAACCAGTAAACAGTTATATTAGGTCCCGGGAGCAATTATATATATTTTTATAAAATAACAAAAATGTTTATTTTTGAATCAAATTATGATTTTTTTTTAAATATTTATATTAAACAAAACTGCACAAACTCAACCACATTGTAAGCCGACAACCGTGCAAATTTAAGAAAAAAATATTGTGGGGTATTTCATAAAAAATCTGATTTTTCGTAAATTATTGAGTGATGCCTAGTTTCACGCTGTTTTCAAAAACTAAAATCGCGCTCACGTCATCACAAATTTTTTTTTCGTCAAAACTATTTTAGGGTATGGCTACGGACATTGTGGCCGAAGCCCATGAGTTTTTTTTTAGAAATCGGAGGTGGTCGAGCGCAACGTCTGGGACGTTTCACATGGAATGACCCACTACGTGCATGGATTCGGCTTGCGTCTTCCGCATGTTGTCCCGGGCGAAGGAGTCGCCAAGCGAAGTCAAGCATCGCTCCCGGAAGTAATTGCGAAAGTACTGGCATGCAGCACTGAATGCGTCATCAGAAAGTCGGAATCACGTTACAATTACGTAATCTTAAGGCTCCCTCCTGTCTCATTATTGCGCGTCTCCTGATCTATAATAATTCACTCCAATGGCGGAATCGGAATGGTTTCGGGCTGCTTTTTTGTTTGTATGCATCTCCTTGCACGTGCAAGCGTGCGCTCGCACATAGGCGTGCACAGGATTTTTCATTAAGGGGGGGGGGGGGGGAGGAGGGGGGCGAGGTTGCGCCCCCCCCCCCCCCCTAGATGATTAGAGGGGGCGGCCGCCCCCCCTGCCTCCCCTGTGCGCACGCCCTATGCGCTCGCATTTACCGCACTAATGCCTCAGACCAACTGCTCAGACATCGCACAAAGGTCAAGGTGTTTGTTGCAGAATGAGATAATTATCTGGTCCTCGGGCACCTTCGAAGCATATAAATGTCCTGTATGCAGGCTTGGAACATGCATGCAGACAGTTTTTGTGTGACTCATGTGGCAGGATCGTCAAGGCAGGAACACGCGGGCGGGGTCTGCAGACTGTCTTCAGTTTTGGCAGTGTGACCGCGCGTTGAGAAGCCGACGTACGACCTCAGTCTTCTGCAGGGAAAATAATCCGCCCACATCCGCGAGGGCAGCCGTGTTGGGACAAGGTAAAAAGTGGAGAGGTTACACACCTTTTTAGCGCACCCAGGCGGAAAATGCCTAGTCACTGAGCTGTGGGCGCGTGCGCGACGTCTTGTGTTTGGCACTATAACTGCGCGTGTTCAGAACGCCTTCCACGGCCGAGTGGGCAAAGGTAGCAGCGCGCAGCATGGAGCGCTTTTAGAGAGCTGAAAATCCACCGAGGGATTCCCTGAAGGAGCTCGACTGAACGCGGGTTGTCTCCAATCACGCCCTAACAGCTCAACCAACGAGCTCGGAGAGGAGTGGTAGCTCTCTCGTGAAATCATAACCGACGCTAACGAAATTCAACAGCATAAGAGCGAGAGAGGGCTATATAGACCGCGAGGACAACCACTAGACGCTTCCTGGAGAGGGAAGGAGGCGAGCTTCCATGAGAACCCTCCCCCCGCGGAGGACTGAGCACCAACCTGCCATAGTTGACCGAGCAGCGGTACCACGAAGACTAGTCCAGCACAGAGCACCAGGAGGCAGCAGACGAAGAGGTTAACGCCCAGGGACCTGCCAGGGTCGGCCATGACGTTGCTGCGGTCGCTGTCTCCACGACCGCGGTCGTCTTGCCGAAGACCTCCGGAAGATCTTGGGGCGGCGTCCCAGCGACCCAGCGGGCTGCGCTGCGTTGCCGCCTTCCGGATGCGTCTCCAAGGACTCGCGGTTATTTATAAAACTTCGAAGCTCGGGGGGCAAGCCCGCGGCTCGGCTCGGCGCTGCTCCGCTTTCTTCCCGAGGTTCGAGCCTCTGGCGGTGGCCTTCCGTGGTCGTGACGCGGTGTGTTGACGCAACCGCCTTTTCGCTTTTCAGCGCTTTCGCGTTCCCGCCAAGTTACGAGTCGGGACAGCCCCCACCCCAGACCCAGGTCGTGGCTCTGTTCGGAGGCTATCAGAGTAGCAATTTTTCTTTTCGTCTTTTCTCCTTGCATAGTGGATTTGGTTGCACAAAAAATGACATCCCGAGTTATTTTGTTCGTTGTTTATCAGAAGCCGTTTACCATTGTGTATCGTCTTTCGACATCATCCGTTTCTCAGGGTTAACTTTGCGTGCTAGTGTACACGCATAATTATTCTTTTATTTGGGTATTTGTACTTATCTGTTCATTATTTTGTACTTTGCTACAGTCCCCTACAGTCATTATCGCCTCCCGGAGCGATAATGAGATTGTTCGTTGGGCTAGGTTCATCTTCAGCCCTGGTGAACTTGTGCAGCTCACGCTGCTCTTCTGAACATTAGTCGTTTACGCTCGTAGGCTTCTGGTACTATCTTCACTTACCGCAGGTTTGACGGACGTCTGGAAAGGTTGTTGGCTTCCCCGTGGTTCCTCCTCCCATGTGGTCGGCTGGCGGCTCCAACCTCCGACACTTCCATAGTTCGATTGTCATCAATTGCGTTACTCAAATTTCTTGATATGTCTCAAGCTATCCACACACATTTTAAGAATTCCCAAGCTTTGCTCTTACTGGTATACTTTTCGTTATCTTTTAATTCCAAGTAGTTACTTAGGAAACAGAAAATGGAGGCGAGGCTAAAACTAGCATTCATATTTTCTCGCGCTCTCCAGTGAAGTGACGTCGGACGTATAACTTGCAAGTCGAGCTGGCAGTTAACGTCCTTCTGTTTAGGGTAATGCCATCCTTTTTAACACTCCATGTCAACAGCACACTTTCACAGGGAAATACAAAGAAATCGTCGAGAACAAAATGTCGGCGTAGCACGTTCTTTCACGCGCTTCAGACAATAAACAAAAATAAGCGTTCGGAACAAAATGGCCAGATGTCATCACCCTAAAGTTCTAAACGAAGCGCACATGAAGGCACTCTTGTCGAAATAAGGGGAACAAGCTGTACTTCCCCATATCGCCCTATGTCACAACGTCTAACGTAACGTTGCAGTGGGGTTGTATTTCAGGCTCTAAATGAGACGTTCGTTTCCAAACCCTAGTTTGGGCCCCAAAGACAAGCCGAACCCTCGGAACATTTGACGGGGCGCTTCTTATATCAGTTTCACGATCACTCGTTCACTCGGTGAAATGTTCTGACGGTTTGTCGCCGCAAGGCGCCCAAGGAAGCCCTCAGTAACGTTAGGCGTGGCGCCGCTTTCTGGCGAAGGCCAGACCGTGGGGTCACGTTAGATGCTTGCAGACAGCCGTCACCGAGCCGACTGACCCTGGCAACACATCACTCTTTTCCGTCGGATGTGAATTGTAATTGGTTGATAGATATGTTGTAGCCAGTCGAAGTTTGATTACATAAATATTTCAGCCCTTCTCGACAGCTGTCTGCCCTGGCAATACCACTTAGAAGTCGAGGCCTGCGTATGACGTCATCGTTAGTGGACCCCCGACACGCCCCAAGCGGCAGACACGCTAAGCTCTAAAGTATCTTGGCGTCGCCGCGTGCTAGGGTCACTCTCATTGCGAGACGCTGCAAGGTGCGCTGGCGGCGATGCTGGTGCAAGCGGCGCTGCGTGGATAGTGATGACGTCTGCGGGGTGAAAGGCGTGCGGGCCTTGTCGTCCATACTGCATTGGATTAGCTTGCACGCGCGTTGTCGGCTGAAGTCCCCGACTGGTTTGCGCCGGTGGCAGCATCGAGTGAGCTTGTAGTTTCTTTTCTTAAAGCGCCACCACGACCGCGTCCCTAAATGCCAGATTTTTAATGTCAATTGAAGCAGTGTTAAGTGCGAAGTAGTTGACGTTCTGGCGTTTAGAGGATGCGGTCTTCAAGTGAACAAGACCTAGGGGCGGATTTATGGGTCAGTCTTTGTTGGACTTATGGGGTCTGTTGAGATATTGCTACACGCGTCTCCGAGCAAGCGCGCACGTGGCCGAATGGTTGACGTTACGGCCGAAACGTTGCCAAGATCTACTTTGTTCACCCAATATTTGCTGTGTCACCAAAAGCTAAAACTTTTGGCTGGTGTATATAAATATTTTCATTCAAAAAGTGACCTTAGAGGGCTTTTAGAAAGTGGGATTAGGAGTGAGGGTCATGGTCCTGCTCGAGGATCTAGCGCTTCGTTCCATCGAAACTTTCATCACGTGTGCGGCGAAAATGAGGGGTATGAACTTATGGATTATATGGGCGGGCTTAGTGGTGCTTGTTGGTTCATGCTTGTTAATCTGGACAGCTGAACAACTTGAACTGAACATGAAGGTTCAGTTCCAGTTGCTAGTTGCAACTAGCAACTGAAGGCAGTTGCTAGTTGCAAGCTGTCCACATTAACAGACATTAGGTTTTTTTTTTCTTCTTTCTGATTTTTTTTTCTTTTGCATTTTCGCGACTCTGTTTTGTGGTTGGCGTGATTCCGTATCGTCTGCTAGGTAATACGCAAACATTCCCTAGCGTACACGTTAGGCAGGACACATTGTTTCTTTTCCAGCATTTTAGTATAAATGTAGGTCTCTAATTGTTTCAAGTTCAAGATTTCTACACATAGAAAAAAATATTTTTACACCCCTTGTTATGTATAAGACGCCACAAAAATTCACTTGGGCGTACAGCGCACTGACGTTGAACGGACGGTACCAACTTTGACGAGCGGCTTGATAGCCGAGTTGTACAACTTAATAAAATAGCTATTGTACCTGTAACTGACTGAAAAAAAAATAATCATATTTTTTTTTGGTTTAACTGCGAAACCTCATTGTTTTTTTGTTTCGTTTTTTTTTTCTATAGTTGATACGTACTTTAGCTGTTTATTTTTTTATATATCCCACCGGCATCAACTCTCTCGTAAAAGTTGGGGCCGTCAGTTCGACGTTAGTGCGCTGTACGTCGAGCTGAAGTTTTGGGGTGCATTATATGGAATAAAGAAATGTAAAAGCTGCACCTTTTATTTTTTTTTTAGAGTGTGTTGGCTACGTTTATTTTATTTCAAGATAGCTAGTACTGATACCTGATTTTGTTTCAATATAACCAGTTGGCGTTTCTACTGGGCTATCTCATTTATTGTATTTTCTTTTATTTTTATATTACCTGCTCGTTGGTACGCAGATACACACGAATTAAGTTCCACGCTGACGCAGACTTTCCCCGTTTTAACAACGAAAAAAAAAGAAAAAAGAAAAGATCTGCCGATTACGAAAACACCGGTTGTAGCAAGTTGTAGAATATTTTCGACCGAGCGGCGGGTGTACTTTCGTTAGAACCCCTCCTAAGCGTAAAGGCTCGACAAATATGGACGTCAAGCGATCTGGCTTTAATCTACAAACGCTCAATCAAAGCTCACTACGAACACCTCCGGAACTCTCAGAAACGCCTATCTCGGTCCCACCCTAACCTCAATGTCACGCAAATCCACATCATTAAAAAGATCCAAACAAATACCCTTCTATAACTCCCGCTAGGCTCTACCACTTTCGACACCGTTCCGATCTTTCATGCCCTAACTGTCCCTCCCTACACGCCAATATAGAACAGTGCCCGGTTGCTGTATCTACCCCGTTCCTCCCTAACCTCCCTCCCACTTCCTGAGGTGCCTGGCTAGCGTCGGAGCAATTAGAAGATCAAACGGTGGTCGACCAAGCATTGGACATCTTGAACACTTAGCTTGTGTTGTTTAAGAAATTGCATTCTCTCTCTCTGCCTAGAATCATGCGCAATGCCGCTCTCGATTCAGTTGCTGCTGTGATTTTCGGAAGACACTGTCTAAGTGAATTTGGTAGCGGCGGCAGCGTGGTGATACAAGCCTGCTAACATCTCTCGCACGCTACTTGCAGTTTGGTTTACGGGTTTTTTACGTGCAGGTATTTTAACGAAACTACTGTCGCTGCTGCTGCTATTCGCTGTCTCTTATCAGCCCACAAGCACGTGCGCAACTTTTTTTTTTTTTTAGCATTTTAATAGATGGAAAATGAGTGTCACTTGTATTCTGAGGAATTACCTGAAACTGGAGAAATGCTGTGCTGCTCGGAGTGCGATTACTCATACCACCTAGATGCATGGTCCGGGGTCAGTGCCAAAGTGTTCAAAACGAAACATGACAGTTTTAAACAGGCATGGTTATGCCTAGCGTTTAAACCGCAAAGATCGCGGACGTACAGAGGTAAAAAGCAAAAATCTGAAGTCGACATGGCGAGCCTGCTTGCGAGCATGAACATGAAACTAGACTCGCTCATGACAATGAAAGCGACGGTAGATAATATCGAGAAAACCGTCAAACACCTTTCAGACTATAACGACCTGCTCAAAAAGAAAAAAAAAAAAACGAAAAAAAAAATATATAAACACATTAGGAAAAATAGGGAAACGATCGAGAATCAAAAGCAGAAAAGCGAAGTAAAAAAACTGAAACGTGAGATGAATAATGTCGAATGGAGAAGTAGAAAATTAAACCTGGAACTTCGCGGAATTGCCAAAACCAAGAATAAAAACTTGCTTGAGAATGTAAATGGAACAGCAGCAAAGTTGGCTCGTTAAGGCAGATATCACCGCATTTCACAGATTACCGGGAAAGTCAGATAAGGTGCCCGGCATTATTGTTCGTTTTGTGATGCAGAACACACGAGACGCCTGGCTGCCCGCCAAAGGAAAATTAATCAAAAATCGATCTGGCCCTTTCATTCTTGAAAACACGATAAGGCAACCGCGAAAGAATGGGCCCGTGACAAACAGTATGAATACGCATGACATCATAACGGAAACATTCTAGTCCGCAAAAATACTGGTGAAAGAGCTGACGTTGTGAAAGGGATATTGAACTGAAATTTAGATTTCGCAAACTAAGACAGCAGAAGCGTTGAACGGGACGCTACTAACTCCAAAACATCACTCACACATCG